AATAAAATTATATTGATTACCTACCAAGTGTCTATTATTAAACTAGAAACTATGGAACAAATTTTTTTCTTCGTATTTAATTATTAATTGTTACATCATATAAATAMATTTTTTGTTTTCGTATTTGTTTATTATAAAAAATTTGAAATTATATTTTGCAATTTTTATTGTTGTATGTAATAACTAAAAGATAGCTTTACTCAGTGGAGTATAAAAAATTCCCAAAATAATTGATAGCATATTAAAATATAAGCTTGACTATTGAAGTAAATAATTACACCAAACGCCTCACCAAAGGCTAAAAAGGTACGTTATCCTGTCACCCGCACTTTCAAAATCATACATTTCAACCCTGTAGTATGAACTATATTTTATACTTTTTCGTACAATTTTCAATCCACCCAATGTACCAATTAAATTCACTTTTCTATCAGAAAATATAWTGAAATTKAAAATCTAATCATTATACTACTCCAAAAAACTACGACTGACACAARAATAGAGGGAAGTAAAACGGTATAGWTTGAAATAATTTTTTCCGAAAAAATTTCAATAATTAGAAATGTACCTAACATACTAATAATATTTTTGAATTRGCTGCGAAGAAATCACGAAAATCTTCATTCGTTRTTTAAATATCTAATATACTATCCAAATTTGAATTTATGCCTATATACAAAATATAAAATCTTTCGTTTATATGATTTTCAGATTTTATGGTTCCATTATGAAGGAGGATTTTATATAATTTAACGAAAAAAAAAAAAAACCGAAACAAATACTTTACTATTTTGTATTGCATAGGTACGAGTATTTGCATATAAATCATAGCCTTATTGATATAGTCTGTGATAACTGATAATATTTTTACCTTCATAAACGTTGACCTGGACGCAGATTTAAAAGACTGTATAATGGTCGCAGCTCGATCTTTGGAAAGGTGGATCGGATTATTATTGAAGGTTTCGGTTGATTCGACAGCAACACATGGCACTGTCATATTCAATTTTTGACATTCGTCGATGAAACAAGCCGAAGTCTTTGTCATGTTATTGGACAGTAAGAACTAAACACCATAAAATAACACATTTTGTAATATTATGATTCCAATCTTTATAAGTGCAAGTGGAAGTACTGTTATATTGGGGTCTATAA